GTGACCATAAATTCTATTTTTGACCCAGTGTATATTGAGTTGGCCTCTGAGGCAGTTCAAAGTCTTTCTAAAAATTGCAAGTGATTCGTGATTGGACAAGTTATCATATACCGTGTTTAAGGAAACAAATTTGGCGTTTTGCTGACTAGCTTTTGCGAGAATCATATCGATTTCTGAATTACTTTCACAAATAAAAAGCTCTCACACTCAACTTATTCATTTTACCTTGAAATTACGAAACGTCTCTCCCAGGTATCCATCTAATCTGCTTAGTCTCCCACCCCGCGAAAACGCGTGCATAAAAGCTCTACGGTTGGCTGATTGGCATGAAAATTTCAACGACAAGGATAAGTGTTCTGAACGTTCCTTAACATCCCAAAGGACCCCAGTACCGTTGGGTTCTGGTGTATGAATTCAACCTCTTTGGGCTTCTGTAAAAATACTCTATTGCACCAAAATTAAGGCAAGGAAGTTCAGGGTTAGTGCTTGTATAAATTGAAACATTTTCTGGGTTGCTTGAAGTACTGTTTCCGATTGTTGGAAAGCATTGCGTACCCGCAGCCTGTCTGTTGATCACAATGCAGTAGGACAGTACCCAGGGAGATATGAGCGAAGAAAAGATAGACAGATACACAGCGGGGAAAACGCATCTATCTCCATCACAGTGTGAATTGCACGCACAGTGCCAAAGTTGCTTAAAACATACGAAGCACCCTCCGTCTGGCTACCTGAACAGAGTCTAACAATAATGTCTTTCGTTGACCTTCGATGAGTCGGATGGGACTGTATTCATTGTTTGTTAACTAAGACCATTCTGATAAACTCTACCGTTTAATGCCCTGAACCAGAGTGCATCATGCCATCTCGTGACTTGTATCGGATTGGCGTATAGATCTATGAAGAATTCATTCAGCCGAAACAATCATCATAACCAGTGTGACGAACTGGGATGCTTGTTGAAACTGACTTGAACTACGGTTGGAGTGAGATTCTCGAATTAACGAGAATCATCCAAAGAGATGAGAGTATATCATAGCACAAAAAACGGAACACGGGTATCTTTCTCTTTGAAAGAGTTTGGGATATATAATAGTTGTTCGGCCAACACAATACAACACTCGGGGAAGCGCAGGATCAGAAATATCACCCCAGTGGTGGTGGATGTTCACAATGACCCGCGCTCAAACTGTGAACCCCGCACACAACTCCAATAACGGACACAAAAGAGTGCTAAATCGAGATATGTTTCCATTTGGAACGCTGCGCGTACGGAGCAGTAAGGGAAGATCTGAGGAGGAAAAAAAGAAACCCAACCCATACAAATTGAAGACTATTTGCGATATTCCTATTGCCAACACCCAGATGCATGCGGATAAGCTATTCGATTGATCTAATTTGTGGAGTTGTGAAACCATTCTCACGTGTGTTTCAAGTACCAAAACACACCAAAAACCTCTGCCCAGTTGGGAAATTGATTGGGCATAGCATCGTCTCAAAGGATCAAACCAACTGGTTGGGCGAGCACTCGCTGTACTCGTAGTGTTATAATTCCAGAAGGCGGTGCTAGTCGAGGATAGTTTTTACTGCCAATAACGTTCGAGATGTGGTTAAGCTGTCATTCATACGACAAAATATTTCATTTGGAACAAGGTTGCAGAATTCCCACACGCACACAGAATAGTTGATGGAACGACACACTATTAGATGCGCATTCTTGTATTCACCATACCGAAAAGCAGCAGTTTGCTCCAACAGGTCTTTTTGATTTTTATTCATTGAAAGAAACCGATGTTCGCCACTTTTTGCTTACTACTCACAAGTATCTCACAACAATAATTTCATCTTCGATAGAAATCGTCATCAGGGAAAATCTACGGGATAGGTGGTGCTTGATACCCGAACATACAGCACTACCACTAGGCTATCTCCAAGTAAAGTGGCATTCAGATGTTTCCCTTTTGTTAGACTTGGACCATCACTCGCTAGACACATTGAATCTATTCTAGCCTCCAGAGAAAACACGTAGACCCATGTCAAACTCCAATGTTGTCTACTTGACAGAGCTCGAACACTTAGTTAATAGNTAGGCGGGTTCGGTGCTCACCGCGATCCATTGAAACTGGGTCCCATGTCATAAGATGAATACGGGCCGAGATGAGAATTCTTTAAATATTATCTAGATATTGCATATACTGAGAATTACATTACTGGGGCGTTTTTGATGCGCCAGAACCTATTGATTTATCCAATTATGAGTGTTTATTGAGACTCCGTTGGCTTACATGAATTCTGATTTCTGTTTATTTAGGTTGAGATGAAAATCGTTCAGAATACAATTAAAATACACGGATGAAACTGGTACTGCCCGGTCGTGTAGAACAAAAATGGATTGGGGGAAAAAACACCAGTAGATGCCGTCACGTGGATCTAGAGAGAACCAACTCACCAAATGACAACAAGGCGAAAAATAAATCCCGATAATTGTATAACGAAAGCAGCAAGCGAACGTCGACAGTGCCAAATTAGTTCACCACACCAGCAGACGGATTTGCACGGAGGCGAACCGGATCACATTCACAACCGGATAACTTAGACGAGATGCAAACCAATCAATCTGGATGGAGAGTGAATAACGCGTGCAAAGATAGAAAATCATTCAAGTGAAGATTGATAATGACCTTTGTGTATCCAATCAGGCGGATGTTGTGGTACACCGGCCCTGACGACTATTGGATGCTGAACTGGACCAATAACGAGACCGAACCAAAATGTGTGCTATGTGCAGGAATTATGCACATACACACACACACACACACACCAAGGTTTATTTCATTGAATTATGCTACTGAACACGGGTTTGATAGAGCCAGACAAAAGTAATGACAACATATGGGGATATGTATTCTTCAATAACACTGCTGAAAAATAACCATGCATATGGAACACAAGATATGGCGCATTGGTTTTTCCCTACACTCCGAACTTCATCCGGTACCGATACAGTTGAAAATGTGTGAAGCGACAAGTGAAGAAACCAAGGAAGTTCTCTCTTTCATCGGAAAAAAATAGAGTTAAAAGCTATACGTCTGTTTGTTAGATGAATTAGAGCAAGGAAAAGACCTTTCACAGTCCGTCTTCCTCAGGAAATGATGGTTCAGGTATTGCCACGGCGCATTCATAAACATTGA